ATTTAATAATTTACGAAAAAAAGGCTTAATAATTGTATTAAAAGCCTTTACTTAAATTTTTTTTTAATATGGTTGAGGTTTCAATTCTCTGATTAGCTATTAAAAAAAACGGTAATTATTTTCTATTATATATTTTCGCTATATTTTATTTGCAAATCATTTTTTAACGTTAATCATTTAAATTTTAAAATCAACCAATCAAGAATTTAACTATTTATATAAAATCGTTAATGTAATGCAAAAAAATAGATCACCATGATCTTTTCTCTTATTTTTTAACAATCATATAATGGGTTGTCGAGAGCATTTTTTAACGCCATATATTGTAATCCTTCATTTTGAACAAAGAGATAATAAAAGCAATAAGTATGCAGTATGTCGTGTTTGTATTAATATACTTGGAAAGGATGAAGCTTATAAGAACAAATTTACAAATACAAAAAAGGAATGTATATGCCATTTTCAAGACTGTACAAGTTTCGCAACTTTATATACATTTGAACAAATAAATGAGTTGCTTGATAAAGCTGAAAAAGATGGAACCAAATCTAATAAACTAGCAAAAAAATGAACACATATCATATTAAATGATCTATCCAGTGATGAGGACTCTAATTCTAAAACTGAAACAAATATAAATCCATTATATGAGGTTGAAATAAAACTATTCCTATTCAAAATGAAAGTGTTTTGGATAATTATATTTTTTGTTCATTAACATCATGTCAAGTATCCAAACTTGAAGAATTTTTGATAAAAGTAACAATCTCGTGTGGCTTTCCATTTCAATGGATAGAAAATGATATTGTAAAATGATTTTTTCATTAGCTTAATCCAATGATTATATTATCATCATGAAAGGTATTAGGAGGATGAATTCTTAAAAAGGCAACTAAACGGATATCAATAAAGTTACTTGATAGTGCAAAAGATGATCTATTGGGTGTAACACTTGCTTTTGATGGGTGGAAGAATGTATCTCGACAACATCTTCTAGGTGTTATTTTAATTAATTCTTCCAGTGATATGATTATTTGGAAAGCAATTGATTGTAAAGGAAAAAGAGGAACTGGAGATGACATTATACAAATTACTGAAGAACTATTTACTAAGCTCCAACAAATAAATATTAAAGTTAATGGTTTAGTTACAGATTCAGCTTCAGAAAATACTGTATCACGGTAAGTTAAAATAATATAAATTAAAATTTTAATTGATAATTTCTAATTAATTAATTATTTATTTATTTATTATAATTAATAATAGCAAACGTTTGCGAACTTTACATCGCAAAAAATTATTTTTACCTTGTTTTACACACTAAATGAATCTTTGTATAGGGGATATCTTTAAAGAATCAAGTGCTATCACTACTTTAGCTGAACAAGCAGTTGCAATAGTTAATTTTTTTAATTGATCAAAAGTATGGTTTGGTAAATTACATGAAGAACAAGCTTTAATATATAAAAACAAATATTATGCATTGATTGTTCTTAATGAAACTCGTTGGAATTCTCATTAACATTATTTTGCAAGTTTATTAAGAACAAAATCAACTCTTAAAGTATTTATTAATTTTTTTTTATAATTTTTTTATAATTTATTTATTATATTTACTAATTAATTAATAATTTTTAGAATCTAGCAACTAAAATAGAAGAACAAATTACTAATAATCTTTATGATTTTCCTGATGAATATTTTGGATATATTTTAAATAATAATTGGTGGAATGATCTTAAGCAATTGAAAATAATTATGCTTCCTTATTGTGTTGCTTTAAACCAATTACAACGTCATAACTTTCGATTACATGAAGTACTTCATAGTTTTGAAAATCTAGTTACAGTTTTACGATCTCTTACTAATAAAAATTAAAGTAAAAAACTTTTAAAAAAATTAGAAAAAAGGTGGACTGATTGGGAACAACCTCTTTTACTTTTATCATTTTTACTTCATCCTAAATATCATATAAATAAGTTTAATCCTACTATAGAAAATATTTCGTTTCCTCATCTTGGGCGATGGATTACTTATTATTATTGTGCTTGGTTTAATGAAGAACCAACAACATTATTGGTTGAATTAGAAGCATATAGAAAACAAAAATATTCATATAATAATACTACTATACGTCAATTTGATCAAGATATTTTAGGATTTTGGAATTATGTACATAGATATTCAAAAGAACTTTATCCTATTGCAGAATGAATTTTTCGATTGCAGTAACAACCGCATCTTTAGAAAGACATTTTTCTACAATAAGTTGGTTACATTCAAAACGACGAAATTGATTAGGGGTAAAAATTTTATTTATTTTTATTTATCTTTTATAAATTATAATATACTAATAATTTATAATTTAATATAGTTTGAAAAAGCACTTGGTATGACACAAATACGATCCTTCATACAACAAAAATTAAAATTTAAAAAAATTGATGAAGAGGTACGCAAGTTTAAAAATACAAATGTAGCATTACCTATTTCAGCTGAAATTAATGATAATGATAATGAATATAATACACTAATGTATCAAATGATGGATTATCTGATAAGAAAAATGATAATATTACAAATGGTAATATACAAACAGTTAGTTATTGGCAAAGTATAGTTTTAAGATGGATAAATGTGTTAGAAAATGATTTAGATTTAGAAGAATCAGAAGATGCTAGTATTTATTATGAAAATGATGAGGATGATATTTCTTTATCAAATATTTTTAATTTACCTCATCCTGTAATAGATAAAAATGCTAAATGGAAACTTCAAGATATTTTTATTGAAGATTTGGAACCAACTAACTATTTAGAAATTTTTATTAATAATAATTAGCTGGTATAATCAATTAATTAGTATTCAGTAAATGTATTTTGTTATTATAATAATAATAAATTTGAATTCACAATATAAAGTTTATATTAAATTTTATTAAATAAAATTAAAGTAATTGTTTAATTACAAAGGTTGTAACTTATATTTTAATATAAAGTATAATCTTTATAGCTTTCTTTAAATAATTATATAACACTACTTTAATGGAACTAACTATAAGTCCAATAGTCCAATAAAATTTGGAATTGGATTGGACAAGGTCCAATAGTCCAATAGTCCAATTGTCCAATTGTCCAATAGTCCAAAAGGCCATCACTGGCACCCACCATATACTACATACCGCCGTTTAGTTCAAGAAGAACCATCCAAGAGCGTTCAAAGTACTAAAAAATATAAGGAGTTTGAGTTATTTGTCTATGATATTAACATCATCTACACATTCAAAGAAATTTACTGTTCAATATTCGCCTAAGTACTATCCAAGAACCGCGCAGAGCTGTCCAAGAAGCTTGCCTAAAAAATAAAGAAAAAAGGAAAATTAGCTTATTTTTTTTAATAATGATTATTACCGAAACTGATCAGAAACCAATTCCCTTTTTTCCTCTGTAAGACTGATCGATCGACTCTAGATTTACTTGAATTATAAAAAGGTTTATTTAATTAATTAAAAAATTCATTAATGTCTCCCCTTTGTAGGGCTCACCTTTGATTAAAGGCTTAATGAAGCAATAAAAGTAGAAATGTTTCTTCACTTCTTAATTAATAACAATTATTAATAACCTCTTTCCCTTCGTAGGACTCGATCCAAGTCTGTATGAAAGTTTCCAATATCTATAAGATTCGAGCTATGCCAAAAAGTGAATCTTCTACTTCTTCTGGCAAGATAAAAAACGGAACAACTTATCGCTTTGTAACTTGTGAAGTATAATTTAAATATACTTGAATAATTTGATTACAAAACTAATTGCCAATTTATGAATTACTTCAAAATATGGAAACAAGTTATCTTTTTAGATATGTGTAATCTGTTGAAATTCTAATTCCTTGGTAGAATGTCAAAATAAAAAGTTATTAGTTCAGATTAATGATTTAAAAACTATAACAGTAAATACGGAGTAGGATCTGCACCTAGCTTAATGAGTTCAAACATTCGCTACTCCTATATACACTATGTTATATACTTCGTTAATTTGTATCAATAAAAATAAAAAAGTTTCATCAGAATGATACGTAAGCATTTGTTCTTTTTTATTAACTTGAACAATTACAAGATTAAGAATAAACCATAGTAACAATTTGTCACAGTATAAGCAAAGAATTTCTTCTCAAATATATCAAGAAATCATGCTGAAATTCGAGAATTAAAAAAGTATTTCAAGAAAAAGGAAAAGACAATTATGATTATGAGAATTGTTATGTGTATAGCTAAATGTAAGAAATGTGGTTTTGTATAGCCAGCTTTCTTTTAAGTCTCCACCTCTTCTACCCCTTTGAAATTCAATTTCAAAGAAAAGCGCCTTTTATTGAAATCTGCGGTTAGAAATGATCCAGATAAGACCATAAACTCCGTTCCAATAAGATTTATTTCACTGAAATGTGAATTCTTTGGTGACATCATAACAAATGTTCGTATATTATTAATTTCTACTAGAATTTTGTCATTTGGTCTGATTGCAGACACACCGAATGCATTCAATACATCCTCACTGATATAGGTAACTGGGGAACCCGTATCTAAGAGAAAGTGCACAACCTTGATCTTTTTGTTGATTTTTATCGTCGTTGCATAAAAAAACCGAAAGTTTACCCCGTACATAATTCCATTAATATCATCAAATTTTTTTGAGGAGTCCGAAAGATATTCTACTCCAAGTATTTCTGATATTCCTTTGCGAAGGTCTTTTCCGCAAACGTCCGTTAAAAGAATATCAAAATTCTTTGGTTCATAAGTATCATCAATATCAATCATTTTTTTACGAGTGCGACAAAACAAAAAAGACATGTGGAAAGTTTTGAAAAATGTTTGAGACTCAGGTACAAACGGGTTATATACAGTATAAAGACATATGGGACGGATCATTTATCTCGTGACTTGATTTTACTCCCTCCATATTTCATCTTTCGGCAGTACGACATTTTGTGCATCAAAAGCTGTCCGAATGCAAAAATATTATATAAATTATCAAATTCAAATCCTGTTCAAATACTATATATAGTAAACTAAGAAGCACTGTTATATTAAAATTTCCTTCCCATGGCTTCGTTTTAAAATATCAGTAGGCTTGCAGCTTGGATGACAGATATGCTAATAAATTGATCCCTGATGTCAAAAATTGTAATTTAACATAGTTCAAACCAGCGTAAAGATCCAAAAAGTCAATTCCAACATATCCGCCAGAGTCGCGGTGACTAAATCCGCAGTCAAAACCCGAGGGTGACACTGGCAAAAATTCCAAAATTATATTTATTACTCATATCAAATATCCCGAGAAGCTTTATTAAATAATATATTTTTTTAATTAATGTTTCTTTTACAGCGACTGAAACCTTCATCAAACCTTGGATTGATCGGAAAGTCCTACGAGGGAAAGGCTATCTTTCATGAGGGAAATCGTTCCTTTACTGAATGATGAATTAGAAATTTATTAGCACGTCATTTTGAAGGTCGTCATTCTAAGGAAATTGCCAAGACTGTAACAAAACAACGTGTTGTATCTCAAAATGACCTTGAACTTAGTGCTGCGTATGATGCCAGAAGGCATCAAAGCTATTAAGTCCAAATTATATTACAGCAACTTGGAGATGTTGGAAAGCAAATGTCCTTTGGCATATTATGGAAATGCTTAAACCGATCGAAAATATGATCCTTAAATATGTTAAAAGCAAGGGTATGTATCTACAATTTATTTTTAATAATTGTTTGTTATTTTTTGTTCGAAAGTTACTAAATAATATGCACTATTATCCTTTTGAAATTAGCTGGTTGTTGGACCAGTGTTGCGCATTATGATCATGAAAGAATTAAAGAGATGACAACCGTTAACAAACTGTAATTATCTTTCATAATGACTGACATATAATTTACTATTGGTTTTGATTATATTCAAACTTTTATTATTCTTATAGGTTTGCTTGGACGTATAACGCGTTTGTGGTTAAAAGCCGAACAAGAACGTCAACATAATTATCTCAAAAGTGGTTCATTGCGATTCACACTTCCACTGTTCATTGGTTATCCCTTTCCCGCCGCTTTCATATAAACATGACACCAGATCATTAATTTTGTCACTCGAAATATTGAAAGAGGCTTATAGTCATAAAGGAAGCCTTATCCAAAGTCAACGTGAAAAATTGGGATTAACCAAACAAGGTAAATATTTCACAATTAATTATAAATAAATGATTATAATACTAATTTGACTTCTAATAACTATGACAATCCACACGAAGCCCTTAATCGAATTATACGTTTATTATTGATCCAATGTGCATTTAAAGAAAATTTATGGATATTTAAGCCACAATTTTCTAGTATTTGACGTTGAACCTCTCGAAAAAATTACTTATACGTATCTCGATGTTACGAGGGAACAAAGAAAAATTTATATGCCACATGGATGAAACTTTCAGATACTGAACCACCGCCACTACTTGTTTATAAGTAAATTATATGTTTTAGTCGTATTTATTGGTTTTATAAATCCTTTGTCGCTAAATTAATTAATTATAATTTCTTTAGATTTTTGTCAAGTCATTAGCAATTTGACAGATGTATGGGACACATCTGAAGGAAAAATTAATGTCATCAATTATTAAAGTCTATGTAAAGATAGATTTGTCTTTATTAAACAAATTATTACGATTAATCCTGGATCAAATCTCGTAGATTACGTGACTTAGTGCAAAGAAAAATTATTAATATATTTCTTACCTTTTTATAGATATTGGAAACTTTCATACAGACTTGGATCGAGTCCTACGAAGGGAAAGAGGTTATTAATAATTGTTATTAATTAAGAAGTGAAGAAACATTTCTACTTTTATTGCTTCATTAAGCCTTTAATCAAAGGTGAGCCCTACAAAGGGGAGACATTAATGAATTTTTTAATTAATTAAATAAACCTTTTTATAATTCAAGTAAATCTAGAGTCGATCGATCAGTCTTACAGAGGAAAAAAGGGAATTGGTTTCTGATCAGTTTCGGTAATAATCATTATTAAAAAAAATAAGCTAATTTTCCTTTTTTCTTTATTTTTTAGGCAAGCTTCTTGGACGGCTCTGCGCGGTTCTTGGATAGTACTTAGGCGAATATTGAACGGTAAATTTCTTTGAATGTGTAGATGATGTTAATATCATTAACAAATAACTCAAACTCCTTCTATTTTTTAGAACTTTGAACGCTCTTGGATGGTTCTTCTTGAACTAAACGGCGGTATGTAGTATATGGTGGGTGCTAATAGCGTTAGGAAATAATACTAATGCCTTTCTTTTTTTTTAGGTTGTTCGTTGGAATTGAACCAACTGAGGCTATGCCCAAATCATTAACCAACAAATAGTATGCTTGTTTGAAAAATGTAAGGTCTGTCAGGAAAAATGAAGGTTATAATTTTTGTGAGAGGTGTTACGATTTTATTTCGAAAGTGCAAGGGGGAGAATTAGATTGTGGGTGAATCACAAAATTATATTTGACACAGAATCCGAAAAAAACTCATCAATTGGATAATAGATATTTTGTTATATGAATGGAAATGAAAAGAGAGTTTAACACTTTTTTTGAATTAACAAATCATTAACATTTTTTGTCTTAGATTTTCTGGAAATGATTTTTTAGAAAAATCACTACCCTTTTACGTGCAATGCTTTATAGTGTCCCAAGATCCCATATTTCAAAAGTTTAAATAACTTTCAGATGCAATTTTGAAGACATGTTAATAGCGATTTAATAAAATTTTTATAATCAATGTATCAAAAGTGATATTATTGGATAATAAGTTTTGATTTTGGAATTTTGGACTCAGTTTTGGATAATTTTCCAAAATGACAAATTGTCCAATTTTCCATCATTGTTCTAAATGTTATCTTTATTAATTATTTTTTGTAAATTTTAAAGAAATAAGCAAATATAAAATTCAAATATAAAAAAAAAATAATAATCATACACGTCACATTAGCTAATTAAATTTTATTTTTATTTTTTGGAACATTTATTATTCTAATATCTACATTTAAAATGACCACATTTTCAAACAATTTCTTGATTGCAACATAAATACCAGTCTATTATAATAATAATTAATAGTTATTCGGCACTTCGTGCCGAATAACTATTATATTGGGAAAATCAAATTTGGTTCCCAATATTATTAGCT